ACTAGCACAGCAGGGGTGGGGGGGTGACTAGTCGGGCCTCCTTCACCCTCTGGGATGCCTCAGCAGTTTGTACATTCAGCACAACAGACGCAGTCCTACTCCAGTGATCTACTGAAGTCCCTGTCTATGGACAGGGCAGGTTTCTAGTGGGTTTGTTTAGTTACATCACTGCTTCATATCCCCTACGTCCGGGTCTCTGAATAGTATAAATAGTGCCACGATTTATGTGAGACAAATTCTTAGTATTGGGATCATAGGATCATTGGACGTGTGCATTTTTAATTCCAATATTGCCATATTCGTCCTCCTTAGAGTTATGCCAAGGGTCCTGGTGGAATACTGGTTAAAGGGCTGGGCTGATCACTGAAAGGTTGGTGGTTTGAAACTACCAGCTTCTCCTTGGTAAAAGATGTGGCAGCCTTCTTTCTTCAAAGATGACAGCCTTGGAAACCCATTGGGGCACGTCTGTGTCCTGCAGGCTTGTTGTGAGTCGGAGCCCACCTGGCTTTCAGCGGTGGGCATTGGGTTTGGTCTTGTTGTTTTCTTGGCTAGAGGCCTACCTGCTTATATTCCAACCGAACTCATAGCACTTGCCCCCACACTGCGTGTAGCAGTCATGCTCCCGGGACTTTCCGAGGACAGTCTGACTGGGAGAAAACTTGTCCCTGGCTTTGGGTTCTTGTTTTGCTGTTAGCGTATGTTATCCTTTCACTAGTTGGTGCCACCGTAATGACTGCACTTTGCATTTTGTTTTTTCAGTCAAATGTTTAAATTGCAAAGGCGTTTCGGATACTTTTGATCCCTATCTCGACATAACATTGGAGATCAAGGTAAATGTGACCGTTGTTGTAGTAGGTTAAAAAAAGTTAAGTCATTCTTTTCATAACTGTAGCTCATTCATAGTTTGGCCTGTCCCTGCTAAACTGACCCTTTTATGTGTGTTTAACCCTCACTGCGAGGTGATTAATTGTCCCAGCCTCCTAGTAAGCGCTCTGAAATGAGGAAGAGTTCACGTTCCCACAGCCCATGGCCTTGTCCGTCACAGATCTAAGGGGCACAGCTGCTGGTGCCTGTCCTTGCACTTTGGCCAAGAGCTCTCTTTGAGGTTGGGTGGAGCCCAGGGGCTTGGTCACATTTAGATGCTCTTTCTCCCTTAGAGATGGTTTTGTTTTTCACATTTTCTAAACCCTTGTTTTGATTTGAAGCTTTTGCTTTTTCAGTTACAAATATCCTACAAGCTTCTGATAAAAAGACATTACAGTCACATGTGAAATTCCTTCCCTCAGAATGAACTCTCATTGATGGTTTGCTGCATATTCGTCCAGGATGTGTATGTGCCATACGTAGCATATATCCTTTATATAACACATGGTTTTTCATATAATATATATAATCCCTTATATATATATAACATGCATTACCTACAAGGTGAATTTTAAAAGTTCCTAGCAAAATGAAATCAAAAGATGATGAAATTCTTCCACATTTTTTCAAGTCCCTCATGTATAATAAAAATACTCTGTTTGTAGTCATATGTATATGTGTGTGTTTGTACGTACACCTGTGTCTAATAGCATATGTGCGATTATAGCCATTCTGCTGTGTGTTGCCGCTTGCACTGTCATGTGCTGGGGGCTGGGTCAGTCTGCCGTTGGGGCTCTTGTGTGGCGCCCAGTGAACAGAGCTGCCCCGTTAACTTCCCTGAGGCCTTGCTGCTCCCCAACTTGCTTCATGGCTGCTTTCTGGGCTTTCTAGAGAGTGCGCCCACTCACTTCGGGGTGAGTGCAACAGTGATGTGACATGCTGTACGTGAACGTGAGCGTCCGAATGAAGGAGCCTGGGCTTTTCCCCGTAAAGAATGCATATTTGTCTCGGCTGTGACTGACAGTGCCCTCCCTCTCTGCAGGCTGCTCAGAGTGTCAACAAGGCGCTGGAGCAGTTCGTGAAACCAGAGCAGCTGGATGGAGAGAACTCCTACAAGTGCAACAAGTATGTGCGTGCCGCCTGGCTGCCACCTACTGTTGGGTGGGGTGGGGGCACAGAGGCAAGGGTGTCAGGATAACGCCTCTAGATTCCTTCAGCTTCTAGGCCCACCTGGGAAAGGCAAGACACGGTGCCTGTTCTCAGGCCAGATCTGAGCTTTTTCACCTACCTAGATGTGCAAGCCTGCATCCTTGGAGAGGCGGGTGGTTTCTGTGCTCCTGTGTGCACGGAGGGTGAGGCGAGGTCCTCCAGAAGCCACCCAAAGCACAGTCCTTGCCCTGCCTTCTGGTACAGGAAGGCTGGGTGTGGCCAGGGAGGCACAGAGGCCCTCCCAGAAGGGGGAGGCAGTTTTCTCATCCAGGATCCTCATCCGTGCTTATAGGTTTCTTCCTATAAGAAAGCTGGTTTGAAGAATGCCCATTTCTTAGGATTTGAGTAGGTAGTAGAATTCTCATGAAGAGACTTAGTGAAGATACTGAATTCAGCTAAGGCAGGCGTTCCAGGAAAGGTTTCCCGGGCCCACCCCCCACCCCC